TTCTGGGTTTCTATGTGGTTGCTAAGGTGTTTTGGGTGGTTACTAGGGCGATGCTATTTGGTTGCTAGAGTTTTCTAGGTGGTTGCTAGGACATTACTAGGTGGTTTCTGGAGTGTTCTGGGTGGTTGCTAGGGCATTGCTAGGTGGTTTCTGGGGTGTTGGTTGCTAGTGCACTGCTAGGTGGTTTCTGTGGTGTTCAGGGTGGTTGCTAGTGCACTGCTAGGTGGTTTCTGTGGTGTTCTGGATGGTAACTGGTTGCAAAGCAGTTATTGGATCTCCTGGGTAACTATGTGGTTGCTAAGGTGTTTTGGGTGGTTACTAGGGCGATACTCTGCGGTTGCTAGAGTTTTTTAGGTGGTTGCTTGGGCATTGCTAGGTGGTTTCTGGGGTATTCTGAGTGGTTTCTAGGGCACTTCTAGGTGGTTTCTGGCGTGTTCTGTATGGTTGCTAGGGCACTGCTAGATGGTTTCTGTAGTGTTCTGTAGTGTTCTGGATGGTAACTGGTTGCAAAGCAGTTGTTGGATCTTCTCAGTTAGTAGGTGGTTGCTAGGGTGTTTTGGGTGGCTACTAGTGTGATGCACTGCTGTTGCTAGAGTTTTCTAGGTGGCTGCTAGTGCATTACTAGGTGGTTTCTGGAGTGTTTAGGTGGTTGCTAGGGTGATGCTCTGTTGTAGCAAGAGCATTTCTCTGAGGTGTTCTGGGTGGTTGCTAGGACACTGCTAAGCGGTTTCTGTAGTGTTCTGGATGTTAACTGGTTGCAAAGCAGTTGTTGGCTCTTATGGGTTAGTAGGTGGTTGCTAGGGTGTTTTGGGTGGTTACTAGGGCGATGCTCTGTGGTTGCTAAAGTTTTCTGGGTGGTTGCTTGGGCATTGCAACAGTATGTGGTTTCTGGGGTGTTCTGTGTGGTTGCTGGTTGCTAGGCAGTTGTTATTATATTCTGGGTGGTTGATAGTCAGTGTTCTTTGAGGTTGCCAGGACATTGATCAGCAGTAGCTTAGCTTATTGGTGGATACTACTGGGTTTTCTAAATGATTGGCAGGACCTTACCAGGTGGTTGCATGTAGATGTCTCAGAATGATATTTTGATATAGCTTGAGTCCCTCATTCTCAAGCAATGTTAAGTCTTTTTATTCCCCTTTAATATCCACCGTAAGTTACTTAGAGAAGTAAAATTGCATCTTTATATTTAGCCACATGATTTGAGGTATCATTCACATCCATAGTCCAAATGCTTCAAATCATTAACCCTACATATGAGAAATAGTAATAGTCATATTTGCCTATTTGGACAACGGCTTAAAATACAGCTTAACATTAATGTTGGTTGCTAGGGTGTTTTGGTTGGTTACTAGGGCGATGCTCTGTGGTTGCTAAAGTTTTCTGGGTGGTTGCTTGGGCATTGCAACAGTATGTGGTTTCTGGGGTGTTCTGTGTGGTTGCTGGTTGCTAGGCAGTTGTTATTATATTCTGGGTGGTTGATAGTCAGTGTTCTTTGAGGTTGCCAGGACATTGATCTGCAGTAGCTTAGCTTATTGGTGGATACTACTGGGTTTTCTAAATGATTGGCAGGACCTTACCAGGTGGTTGCATGTAGATGTCTCAGAATGATATTTTGATATAGCTTGAGTCCCTCATTCTCAAGCAATGTTAAGTCTTTTTATTCCCCTTTAATATCCACCGTAAGTTACTTAGAGAAGTAAAATTGCATCTTTATATTTAGCCACATGATTTGAGGTATCATTCACATCCATAGTCCAAATGCTTCAAATCATTAACCCTACATATGAGAAATAGTAATAGTCATATTTGCCTATTTGGACAACGGCTTAAAATACAGCTTAACATTAATGTTGAGTTCTATATGTAAGTATGAAGATCATCTATGCAGAAGGACTCTTGTTCTTGCCAGCTTCTTTGGTTTCCTTTGCCTTTCATTCCATAATCCTCGGTAGACATGGGAAGCGTGACCTCCCCTCAGAAGCTTCCGGACAGTCATTAGTAGAGCCTTAAGGAGGACTAAGATACTGTTTGATAAATTTTGATAAATTTAGACTTTGTAAATGACAAATGTTAATGCATGTCAATGCATTTTTTCTATAAAAAGAAATGCTATCATGCTTTGCTTAATTGCTTTTTATAATGCTGTAATTCTATTTACATGTCAAATTAGTTTTGAAAAACACATTTTACGCAATACTGAAACAAAGCCAAATAACACAATTGTCAATTTTTCTCCACTGTGTATTTTAAAGTACTTGCATTCAGTTTGGGAAAGGACAGTGTTCCAGAGTTGAAGTCACATCCCAAGGGTCCACAGATTTAGATAAAAATGCATCGGATGGCAGCGCAGATCCCTAGCATGAAGGGCCTCGTGTCATAAAACCATTGGGTTTGTTATGGTACAAGATCACCAGAGATGATAAACCGTCAGAAACCCAGAGGAGAAAGAACAACTAGAAGACAGAAACAATATTCTTTCCAAAGCAGCCTCGGCTTTCCTTATCATTCCTGGTACTTGTGTGTCTTTAAATGCTGGAACAGATGGGAGAAACAATAAGAAAATGTTGTCCATCAGTCTGTTCCATTCATGCGTATTTCTTCAAATATAAACCATTTGATTTGTATTAGTTGGACTGGAGAAAGCTGAATATTAAAAGGTCTCAAATAACACTTCCTCTCTCATCTCTACCCAGCCTGTCACTATAAATTTGTACTGTGAGGGATTGTGGGCTAATCCAAAATAATCCTCATATAAACAGTGTTCAGTAAAGAGCTGAACAAAGCCAAGTATCAGTTCACACTATCAGAAACTTTTTTTTCTAGGGGGAAAAGTATGACAAAACCATTTTAGTCTGTCTCAATGAGTTACTTACCAAACGACCAAACAGATGGTGGGAAATATTTTCAAATAATGTCTTTAGAGAACTGCATTTCATTTTAATCTTCTCAGTTATTGTTTTACAAAATACAAACTATTGTCTAACACTCACTTTAATGATATCCAAAGAAATTCCCAAATCCACTTAACTGCTGTGACTGTTGCAGGCCTCAGAGGTATTTATGTTATGTGTTTAATAAAAATATTTACCCATAGTTCTTTGGGGCTTGTTTATATCTGCTGCATTGAATCTAGCATTTTACCACAAACATTAAGTGGAAAAAGCTGGAAGTTTGTTAAAGCACTTACATTGCAATAACAGGAAATTACATGCACAAAATAGGGGTCTGTCTGTCATAAACATAAGATAACAGTCATCTGTGAAGTGCATTCCCATAAAAATGTTGTCTTTGGATTCTGATTGTATTAAAAACATAATTGCCAAAACTACTCTTATAACTGTGTGCTGAAAATGAGAAGAAAAATGTGGAATATTTTGTATTAGAAATCAATTAAGGACTTGCATTATTTTAAATGACAATTAAGCTCATTTATGAAGACATTTTCATTACCATAATGCAATCCTCATTACACTGTAAAAAAAATATTTTTCGAAGTTGTAAATAAAACTTATTGGAGAAATAAATACTACATTCTTTCTGCTTCAAATTACTCTTTCAGAGTATTTTTTTCTGTGGTTTATATATACATAGATGCATAGTTTATATATACATATATACATAGATGAATAGATGGTTTCATGCATGCAAGCAAGAAAACTTTAATGCAAACACATTGAGTTTCAAGAACAATCTAACTGTTTTGAGCTATTTAATACAATTACAAGAGAACAGAAATAGTGCAAGACAACTGGTATTATATTTAAGACTGGGGTTATTTTAGGGAATTATCACATTACGTTTGACCACTTGTCTAAGTGTTTTGAAATTTGTAATTTACAGACTGGGCCAGGTGCTCGGGCATTAAGACAGCCCTAAAAATACTCTGAGAAGCTTGTCTAAGGAGGGGTAGGGCAGACTGAAGGATAACAGAGAGTATTCTGTGTGCTCAATATCCCAAAGAAGCAAACCGAAGCTCCTCTTGCATCTATCATGGGATGCATAAAGGCACACTCCTGAGCCTGTTGATGACATTATATTAAGCCCAAGCAGAGTTTTTGTTAATTCGTATCGTGCAGAAGTGTTGAAACAAAGGCATGTTTGAGTTCTGATAAGGTTCAGACCAGACTAATGATGAGTTATCATGAGCAATGACACCTTATCAGTCTAAACGTGTCCGGAAATATGAGAGTTTGAATTATTCTTATACTACTTCTTATAATATTTTCTGTGAATTTGATGGATCTTTTAGCCCAAATAACTTGTTTAGGACAATTCCGATGGAGTAACCTCAGGTCATCAGGGTCAGAAAATAAAATTAAAAATGCCATTTTAAATGATTTTATCACAAGAAATTCCATAATATATTCTTTTTAATTGCAAAAACACCATAATTAATTATTTATTTTCTAAACTACTTTAGAAGGTTTTTTTGTGGGGACTTTTTTCTTTTCTCAAATTTATTAATACATTTTTTATGAATTTCTTAAATGGATGTGTGTGTGTGTGTGTGTGTTTCATCTTTATATATATATATATATATATATATATATAGCCTATATTGTTTTTTTTTTACTTTTACTTCCAAAAATGTCAATGTTTAATATTTCAAATATTGCCTCTCCATAAATAAATGAATAAATAAATAGAAACAATCAATTCCTTCTCACCTCAGGATCTCACAAATATACACATATCCCCTACGAAATCAAATAAAAATATAATTTATAAAGAAGCTGCTGCTTTTTTAACATTTACATTTTGTAACATTTTTCTTTGAACCCTCAAAATAAAATGAATCAGATGGCTATGAGTGTTGCGTTTTGATGGCAGTGCATCATGTGGAAAACGCGTCTCGAGACCCCTGCGTGCGTTCTGTCCCGTTCCGTCGCGCTCAGTATGTGTGAAGACGTCTTGAGGAGTTCGCCTTGCCCATCACACCCCTTATATAGGCATATAAACGGTCAAATGTCGAGCAACAGCGAATCGCCACCCAGATCCATAAAAAAAGCCCCGGGGCATGGAGAAAAGCAGCCGAACGCGGCTGTTTCCAAAAAAGTATTGAATGTCCAGAGGAATTCGGTCACCCCTCCCGTGGAAATACGTATTTGAGAGCTCGCACAGGAGCGGGCGCTCGCACTCCAGCTCTGCGTTCAGTCCCAAGCGCTTCTGACCGTCGCTCCTCTGTGGAAATTTCACTTTTGCAGCCGAACAACCCATAAGCAGCCATGGATGCCATTAAGAAGAAGATGCAGATGCTCAAGCTCGACAAGGAGAACGCCTTAGACAGAGCTGAGCAGGCTGAGGGAGACAAAAAGGCAGCGGAGGACAGGAGCAAACAGGTCTGCGGTTTTTATGAGGACTTTAAAAGTTATCCATAACGCGCACGCGCCGTTCCCGTGCGCTACTTGAGAGATGGATTATCATGAGTGGATTTATAGTAACAGAAGAAGGGTAAAAATAACGAATTCGAGTATGAATCTTTTCCATGTCAATTAAAATTATGTCAATAATGTTAATACGACGTACGACGACTCGCCCTTTTATTGCCATACATCTAGTGCAGAAAAATGTAGCCGTTCATTTATTAACCCTCAATGTTCCATTGATACAGGCTTAACTACTGTCTTTACTTACTGTCGAATAATATTTATAATGTTTCGACCAGATTTTTATTATTAGTAGCCTATGTTAATTCAGTTTAAAATCGTTTAAATGTAGAATGACTGCGGGTTGCAGCCTAACCTTGGGATCACGTAAAACTAAGCTTTCAGTCAACAGTTTTAGTATGCTATTTTTGTAATACTGTAATAATTATAAAATTAAAACCTTGTGTTTTCCCTGACCAAATCAAAACTCGTTTGGCAGATAGGTCTATAATTGATGCTTTAACCCTTTGTGGTCTCATGAAGTACATGAACTTTTAAGAAGTGTGATCCCAACAAAGCACATTGTAAAAAAAATGAAACAAACATGTTAAGCATATTTTTGAGCTATTAAAAAGGCCTTTGGGTCTCCGAGACCACAAACTGAACCCCATGAAGGGTTAAAGCGCACGTTTAGTAGGCTATTTGTAGCAGACATATTTATTGTTTTAATAGCATTTCTACTAAAAGTTGACCTCGTTTGTTATGAAAACTGTCATTTATGCATGTGTAGTTAGAAGACGAACTAATTGAGTTGGAAAAGAGGTTGCGCGTAACGGAGGACGAGCGTGATAAAGTGCTTGAGGAGTACCAGAGCGTCGAGGAGAAGCTCCTGACCGCCGAGGAGGTCGCCACCAAGGTATTTTCCTGAGTGTTCCTGTCTGAATCTTCCTAACTTTTCTTTCTTCCCTTCTCTTTCTCTTCTTTCTCTGTCGGTCTCTTTGCCCGCCACACCACGCGCACTCTGCTTCCCGCTCTTCACTGCTGTCAATCAATCACTCAAACACGCGCAGCTTGAGGATGACCTCCTAGCACTGCAGAAGAAACTGAAGGGCACCGAGGATGAGCTCGACAAATATTCTGAGGCTCTTAAAGATGCACAGGAGAAACTGGAGCTGGCTGAGAAGAAAGCCGCAGATGTGAGTATATATGGAGCATCACCGCTTTCACGCATCTTTTCCTGACACTTTTGGCATGCCACGCCTTTATTACTTACAGATGAGAGTCTGTTGTCAGTTGTCATATTTGAGGATGGTTGTTAATATTGCTTTCGGACCCTGGTTTCTCATAGCCTATGAAACTTAACTTTTTTCCTCAGGCGTGAAAATAAAGTGACTCGTGAACTATAAGACAAAAAAAGTTGTCTGTGGCATGGTACACTCTAAAAAATGCTGGGTTAAATATAACCCAGTGCTGGGTTAAAAAGGGACAAACCCAGCAATTGGGTTGTTTTGACCCAGCGGTTGGGTTGTTTTGACCCAGCGGTTGGGTTGTTTTGACCCAGCAATTGGGCTGTTTTGACCCAGCAATTGGGCTGTTTTGACCTAGCGGTTGTGTTGTTTTGACCCAGCGGTTGGGTTGTTTTGACCCAGCGGTTGGGTTGTTTTGACCCAGCGGTTGGGTTGTTTTGACCCAGCAATTGGGCTGTTTTGACCCAGCAATTGGGCTGTTTTGACCTAGCGGTTGTGTTGTTTTGACCCAGCGGTTGGGTTGTTTTGACCCAGCGGTTGGGTTCAAAACAACCCAACCGCTGGGTCAAAACAACACAATAGCTGGGTTTGTCCCTTTTTAACCCAGCGCTGGGTTATATTTAACCCAGCATTTTTTAGAGTGTAAACACAATCCGCATATCTCTGACCAAACATGGTGTATTAGTATAGGTATGCAAACATAAATACACGATTTTAATTTACAAGACGTGCATTCCAAGAAGAGAGTGAGCAGGCAGGCTGTTATATTTAGCCTAGTGCTTTATATGGTCAAGACTCAGATCGACTCCTTGGGCTCTGCCCTTGAGACTGGTCGACTGGAAGTCTTTCTTTAAAAATTGCCATTGATTCTTTTAGTTTCAAAACTAAACTGTATCCTGAGAAGTGCATGAGTAGACGTTCCAAAGTCTTGACAAGTATTTGCATAGCTTTGCATGATACAAAATAGTCCTCTGACCATCTTGCTCCAGCTTCAAAGAATCATTTGAACTTGAGTTGTTTTATGTTCCATTGATTCGTCATGCATTATTCAGCAATTGAGAGATATTTAAAAGAATATAGGCCTATGTGAGTAGAAATTGATTTGAACTCTTTTGTTGTGTTAAAATAATAGATCTTTGTAGTTTGTACTACGGTCTTGAATAGTGCACACTGGGACTCCCCCTCGTGTACATCAACAGAACTACAGTAAGGTGCTACATTGTACTTACATTTCAAATAAAAATTATTTTTAACATAAGTATAATAGTAATATAATATTATTGATGTTAATAAATTATATAATTATTTCAACATTATTTCAATATTATATAGTAGTAGTAGTATAATTAAATTATAATTTGTTCTAATAAATTTGTTTAATAGTAAACAAATTACTATAATCATAATAATGTAATATTATTGTAACGTTAATGTTATTTTGTCATAATATCCATGTAATAAAATATCAAGTTATTTAGAAATAAAAATAATAGTAATACAATATAATTAATGTTAATAAATATATTCACTTATTTCAATTATATATTAATATAATTGTAATACAATTATAATAAATTCGTTTAATTGTAAACAAATTATTATAATCATAATAATGTAATATTACTGTAACTAAAATATTATTTTTGTTATGATATCCATGTAATACAATATCAAATTATTTAGAAGAATCAGAAAGAGCTTTATTGCCAAGTATGTTTGCGCATACAAGGAATTTGTTTTAGTGTCACAAGCTTCCAGTACACAGAGACAACAACAACACACAGACAATAAAAATAAGATGAGAATAAAAATACACACACATGTAAATACAAATAGACAAAAATAGAAAAAAAATAAATTACAATAAAATAAATAAAATGTAGAAATAAAAATATATATAGTATAAAAAATATATACATTTAGAATACTAATATAATATTATTAGTTAATGTTAGTAAATTATGTATTATATTAAAATAATATTTAGTTAATGTAATAGTAATAAATTACTATAATCATAATAATGTAATATTCTGAGAATACATTGTTTTTGTCATAATATCTATGTATCACAATATCAAATTGTTATATCTAGCTAGCTAGGCTCTCTCTCTCTCTCTCTCTCTCTCTCTATATATAGGCTATATATATATTTAAACAATTTGATATTATTTATTCATGTCAATAATTACATTAATTTACTATGTAAATATATTATATTATTATATAATTATATAATTATATATTTGTATAATTAATCTAAATTACAATATATTCCAATAAATTAATTAAATAGTAATAAATTAATGCTGTTATATCTAGCTAGCTAGGCTCTCTCTCTCTCTCTCTCTCTCTCTATATATATATAGGCTATATATATATTTAAACAATTTGATATTATTTATTCATGTCAATAATTACATTAATTTATTATGTAAATATATTATATTATATAATTTTATAATTATATATTTGTATAATTAATCTAAATTACAATATATTCCAATAAATTAATTAAATAGTAATAAATTAATGTAATTATAATAATCTAATATGAATCTTAGGTCGAATGTGAATCTCTGGTCGATGCTGTAATGATCTCAATAGAGGGCGCAACAGAACTAAACAACTACATTCGAGGCCCTTGAAGCCATTCCATATTTAGCAGCTCAGTCTCAGCACCAGCACCAGCACCAGCACTCCAGTCAATCACCCATCAGGCTATCGATGAACGCATTCAGGTGTGCAACAGGTGCAGGATGTAAACATGTATTGCACATCCTCCAAATGACTTTGAAGTAAACTACTGTTTAAATGATTTGATCAAATATGTTTTGCATGAAACATATTCAACATGCACTGCAGTTCACCTCTTGTATGTCTCACGTGGAAATACTGTTCGCTGAAAAGCGGCAGATAAGCCCTAGTTCATGGCAATGACGTCGCTTGGGGCTCGCCTATGAAAACATGGTTACTTCCGGTGTGATCTGATACGTTGCTCCGCGTCCTCGCGCACACACAGACCAGGGGCAGCAGCGTCTCTGAGCTGTGTTCATCTGAAGGAAACGCGCTCAAATACGAGGCTTTTAGTGGTTACTTAGAATAAGAATGGCGGCTACATCGCTGGAAGCAGTCAAACGGAAAATAAAACTGTTGCAAGATCAAGCGGACGGCGCTGAAGAGAGAGCGGAGAAACTGCAGAGGGAGTTGGCGCTCGAGAGGAAAGCCAGAGAAGCAGTAAGAACGCCGAATGATAGAAAGTATAAAGTGCATGTGTTGAAATGCGCCGCGCCGCGCTGCAGTGTAGCGTCGCTCGCATCCCAGGCGTTCCTCTGTGCGTGAGTTCATTTAAACAGCGGCGTTCAGAGCGGATGCGATAGTGCGCGCGGTGATGTGCGGTGTGAACCTAGCGGAACTTCTCAGACGCCCTCTACGCACTGTTTACCAGCCCGATAAACGGCGACATTTGTATCACGCACGTTTTTTAATAACTTATAAGTTCTTACATCCAACAAACAGGAGACGCGAATTAAATGTCTGCCAGTGTGATTATAAACTGACGCATGTAAATGGAGTTTAAAGGTGCTGAATAACGATAACGATTCGTATCCGAACGAGTTGTTCACTTGAGTCGGATCTTGAAAATGAATCAGTTGAACCGGTTCACCAAATCGGTCTGATTGATTAGTTCACGAATTTGACTGAAGTGCTGTGAACTGTCTAAACGACAGTTTAGACTAAACGACAGTTAACTGACTTTCTCTTAGACCTGTCCGACTCATAATAGAGCGAATTGATAGACGGGAACCGTTTCGTTCGAACATGATCGATTCAATTAGTGACCTGATAATGTAAAGGGAAATTATATTAAGCATTCAAAATCTGTTTTAATAAATGTTTTTATGTTTTTAAATGCAGAAACTTTCAGCTAGGAGATTAAAAATACATTTTGGACTAAATGTATAAGTTTGTTTACTTTAAATGCAAAGTCATGCTAGAGTTTGACTAATTTTATGAACTGAATCGTGGCTGCAAACTGAATTAAGACTAATGCAATTATTAAAAAACCACTCGTATTTAAATAAATAAGAAATCTCTGTGATTCAGACTCCGTATTGAAATTACGTCTGAATGTCTAAGAATTATTAGTGAGTCGTTTTTGAAACGGTTATTTGAATTGAACCGTTCGAAAGAATCGATTCGCGGAAATGAGTCGGATAACAGAGTTGTTTTCACCCCAAACTTTGAGATTGCTGACGATATCTCTGTGCAAGGCACATCCCTGTGTTTTCAGTCTGTTCTCTTGTTGGTCGTAATTGGAGAGTCTGGTTATAATCCAGCTAGTTAAATTGTACTCCTGCGAATAGGTCCTTGTTTAATGACTTTTATGTTGAACCAGAGGCTCTGAGTGTAATCATTTTAGGCTAATAGCCTGCAGTTCAGTAGTGATCCTGGACAGAACTGTTGATGTGGGCTGTGCTGTAGTGGTTTTATCTTAATGAATAGGAGTTGTGCTGCTTCAGGCAGTATGTTGACATCTCAGGAAGCGTTTGAGAACTTTCCCTTATATGGCCAGTCTGCATCGTCACATACAGTGGGACTCATCTTAGTCATGCTGAAATAAATAGTGATGGTTCTAGTTATAGATATGTTATAGTTATATCTAGGGCTGAGCGATATGGCCAAAAAAAAAATCCCGATAATTTTTTTCATATCAGTCGATATCGATAATTATCACGATAAATGTCAAATCTTTATTTCTTTCCAGTTTAAAGCCAGATTTTTGTTCCAAAGTGAAAGTTGTAGAAACCGGCTCATTATAATGATTTGGCAAATTAAATGGAAAAATTAATTTGCATGTTCTAATGAGTGATATTGTTTCAAATAAAGAAACCGGTTTAGGTTGCCTGATAATATTATTATATAATGTTATAATATGTCCCTATGGCTCAGTGGTTGAGCGTTGCGTTAGCCGTGCAAAAGGTTGTGGGTTCGATTCCCAGGGAACACACATACTGGTAAAAAATGTATAGCCTGAATGTTGCTTGGATAAAAGCGTCTGCTAAATGCATACATTTTTTTTTATTAATTATATTAATAATAATATCACTTTTTTTTTGTCTCTTAGAAAATGAAATGCTTAGAAATGCACATTTGATAGTAGCTTGAGTTAGGATGTAGAGGAAAATTTTGTTCATTATCAAAATCAGTAACATCTGTAAAAACAAGATGTAGCCATCTCCATTTTATATGGTTAAATGTATTCTTTCTGACCAAGTTTCTTTTTTTTTTTTAATTAAGCATTGGTCTTTCATAGTAGCATACATTTATGCATCTGCTCTAGTGAGTTTGCGCCACGCGGCAGTTTGAGCTGTGATCCGAGCAGATAAACAGTCCGAGTGGCGTGATTCAAATGAGTCGCGCTGTTTTGGTCTGCTTTTGGCACGTAAACATTGTCGATCATTTATCAAACATACCGTTTTATCGAGAAAAATTATATTGCGATAATTATCGTTATCGAATTATCGCCCAGCCCCAGTTATATATATTTAGTTATAGATGGATATATAGATATCTAATTATCTATTTATGGCATTGATAATCAGTCTCAGTCTTTTCTAAACAAGCATACTTAAGACTCTGGGCCCTTTAAGAAAATGTAGAAGTTCAGTGCTGGCTGTCAAGGTTATCTGTATTGCTTTCTAGTTTTTCATATCTCAGCTGACAATATAACATGCACTTTGTCCCACGTAAGGTCTTTGCTTATCGCTGGACTGGGACTTAAACAGAGATTATTTGTTATGCATGCTATAAAAACATAAATATACACTTATTTTGATGATGTAACAATATTGTATATTTTAAAATATCTAAGAATATGTAAATGTCAACTAATTTAGCATGAGTTAAAAGCCAGTCTTATAGCCCAGATATTTTATTGGATGTAATGTGGTGACAACACATTGAAATGTCAAAAGCTGAACAAAAGTAATGTGGCAGATGAGTTTGTTTAGGGCTGGATTTCACTACAGATGTTCACATTAAGTTTGATTCAGAAGCTTTTGATTTCAATTTGATTCAGTTCTGATTCTGTTTTATTAGATTCTGATTCATTTAGGTAGCCTATATTACAATTTAAAAATGTTAAATTGTGTGTGAACATCTGATCTTGAGCATTTATGCCAGTTTCTCTGTGCTCTTCAAGGCTGAGGGTGATGTAGCTTCCCTGAACAGACGTATCCAGCTGGTTGAGGAGGAGTTGGATCGTGCACAGGAGCGTTTGGCTACTGCCCTGCAGAAGCTGGAGGAGGCCGAGAAGGCTGCCGATGAGAGCGAGAGGTTAGTACAGTACTGTGACACTCACTTTACAATTACAAAGAATGGTGTATCCCGTTTTATAGTGAAATGAAATGCGGTAGAAAAGTCTACTGACAACCTGCTTTACAATTGTGTAGATAATATATCAGCAAGGTCATTGCTGTGCAGGACTAGTGGAATTTTGTGAATGAAGCTTAAGAGTGAATCATTCATGTTCACTTTTCATTGGCGTTTTCACTTACATTTTGAGATTTTCATTGAGAAGACTGACTATAGCATAACATTTTGAGTGTGAGCCGAGGACCATTTGATTGGTTGGACTTACTGAACGAATATGCTCTTCACTAAATGAATCGACCACACTCAAAACACCTTGGGCGCAAACGGTCTGAACGAATCTCGTGTGTGAATGAGAAAAATTAATGTGGTATCTCATCATCGTAACTCATACGCAGTAAAATCATCATCATAACTTGATTAAGCATCTTTCTTGTGAGTGAACCGAATAACGCAGTATTTTGTTTGTGAAGAAACCGAATAAATGCAGTATCACGTTTGTGAATGAACTGAACCAAATGAATGTAGAATCTTGTTTGTTGGCAGTCCATACCTAATGAATTTGGTATTTTGTTTGTGAGTGAATTAAATAAACGGTGTCTTGCTTGTGAATAAATTGAATTAACGCTCTATTTTGTTTATAAACAAACCAAATGAATGTAGTATGTCGTTAGTAACCGACTAAATGCAGAATCTCGTTTGTGAACAAACCGAGATGAACGCAGATTCTCGTTTGTGAACAAACGAAACTGAATGGACACAGTATCTTGTTTGTGAGCGAACCAAATAAACGCAGTATCTATCCTAACTTGTGGCTGAATTGAATGAACATGGTATTTTGTTTGTAAAGAACCCAAATCAGTGTGGTGTTTCATTTGTGAGCAAACTGAATTAATGCAGTATCTTACTTGTGAACGAACCAAACTGAATCGAATGTAGACCGTATCTTGTTTGTGGGTGAACCAAATAAACGCAGTATCTTGTTTGTAAACAAACTGAACCGAATAAATGCAATATCTCGCTTGCAAATGAATTGAGTGAATGATTCACTGGCTAATTATTGAATAAATCATTTTGGTGAATGATTAAACTTTTTCAGTCACTGGGATGAATCAAAATCACAACAAAACAGCTTTTTCTGCATGTGAGACTAAAATTATTTATAAGAATTATCTGGTTTATTTTTATCTTGACTAACATAATGTGAAGCTGATTCCATATTTATTTAATTTGTATTATTAATCTTATCTTGTACATCACTAGTTACAAAAAAAAAAAATCAAATGAAGGACCTTTGAATACTTATTTAATAATCTGGATTGTCCAAATATATACATTTATCTCATGCTTATTAAAACGCATACAGTGCATGTGTACAGTGCTATAGCATGCAGTGGTAATATAAAGTAAATTGCAATTAAGTGTAGCATTCTGTAGGACTGTCAGTCTGATACACTGAAGCACAGTGTACACACCCTGTCCCTCCCCCTCTCGCAGTAACTGTGGTTATTGTGTGCAGCGCCGATGTGTTGCTATTGAAATGACAACATGCTGCCACTTCCTAGCCTGCACCGCACATCTGGTGCCCTGCATAAAGACTGTTTGTGTGCTGAGGAAAGTCCATATAATTTGCTATTCACCAGCACCGCGACCCTACAGGAGTAGTTCATAAACTTTATAGTTATGTTTCGGCAAGCATCGCTATTATTATTATTGCTTTTCAGTTATGGGTTTATATTTCTTTTAGTTTTAATTTGAAATATATTTTAATATATGTTAATAAAACATTTCAACATTTATGTTTATATATATATAATGTATATGTGTGTGTGTGTGTGTGTGTGTGTATGTATGTATGAAGAGTTCATTTGCAAAAACTTTTTTTTTTTTTTGCATTCCAAGTAATATCAATCAAACTGCAGTTGGGTTGTTTGGATAGAGTAATAATAACTTGAACAAATACAGGTAATTTACAAAATAAAAGTTCATTGAAAGTATTTTTGGGTATTAAGAGTTTGTTTTATAGCAAAAGCAGATAACTCCAACAGTCGTTTTTTGGCAAAAGCAGATAACTCTACATTTCATGTTTTAGAGTTTAAAAAACACTGGTTTAATCTTTGTAATCTCCTCAGATGACAATGTAGATGCCTGACAAACGTTGTTGTTGTTGTTGTTGTTGTGATCATAAACTGTATGGATGTGATTACACGCAATGGCCCAAGCTTTTCCCTCACCATTGTAACGCGCTGCTTTTACAAGGTTCAGTGAAAACGTTTCAGCTTTCATTTTCCTTTTTCACCCTGAAGAAGATATCACAGGTTCATCAAGTTCGTCGAAATGATCCATCCTCGATCACTTTTAATCAGCTTTGACGAAACTCCTCTCAGCTAGCAT